GATATAAAAGATTTATTGAAGTACTAGATATGGATAAAAATAAAGTCTTGTAAATGTTTCTTGACAAAAAAATAGACAGAGAGATGAAGGACAATTTATTCCACAAAGAGCGTTCCACAATTATTGACAACTTAATTGTTTCTTTGGTTTTCTTCAGAATTACAGGTTCTGAACTGACCTTTGTAGTGCAAGTGCAAGGAGCTGTGACTTCTGTCTAGAGGAAGAACGCGTTCTCATCAGCGGTTTGCCATTAAAAGAGTTTGCACAGCAGAGGCTTAAGCCACTTCTATAAGTAGGCCACCCAAAGGATTTGGTGGAAGTTCCTAATTTTTTACATGTGAATAGTGATATACCAGCAAAGAATCTTTACAGCAGGTTTCTTCGTATCAAATAGCATTTGTATTAGAAATGGCTGATTAGAGAGAAGAAAACGTTTGCCAGTGTTGAAGCTGGAACGTGGTACCTTTTCCTGGACTTGGACTTGGAGGGCTGGATTACAACAATTAACTTTGATTTTCCCATAATGATGTGTAATGATATCTTCAGGTTCAGCACAGTAATATCAAGGACATTACAGGTAGCCCTATATAAAAGGTTATGTGGATAACTGAAATAATTTATTCATTGCTCGAGTCTTAATTTTTTGGCTTTACCACCAATAGTGCTTAGTGCCCTGCAGTTATCAAAAAATCCTAGTATAGACAGTTCCAAAGTTCTGAACCAGATTAATTCCTAAATCTGTCTCTTAGTTGAATATATTGATAAGTCAGAATAGTATCTGCTGGTCTTATTTTTAGTATTAGTTAGTCAAATGTTTGTCTTAGTATACACTATGTATTTTACCTTTTTTCTTCCTAAAATGCATAACAGTTACCAATACTGTTGGTAAACATAACAATATAATAAACATATACTAATAAACATAACATAGTTATAAACATAACAATATAGTACATTGAATAAGAGTGAATAAATTTTTACTTAAACATAACAATATAGTACATTAAATAAGAGTAAATAAATTTAGCACTGTACTGAATTGGGAGGACTTTTATGTGCATGTGTGTAGATCGGTATATAAAAAGACTTCAAAAGGCTCATGGAAAAAAAACACATTATCTTTTAATTCCACTGATAGGTGGGTGAGGTTTTAGTATTAGCACCAATTTCATGAAGTGAGAATCAGGCAGGTTTGTAGAGTTTTCTTTTTCTTGTCAGACCTGACTTTGTAGTAGCTGAGACCCTTGGACACCGGGAGATACATGCCAGTGAGCTTCTCTGTATTAGGGTTTTGCTCCTCCAATGTTGTCACTCCATCTGTAGTAGGAAAAAATGGCTACAACTTATTTACCCCCCCAAAAAAAAGTTTATTGTGGAGATATTTTAGGTCTTCTTCCTTAAAAGCTTTCATGTACCATTCCAGTCCTAAATGTCTTCATCTCATCAGTGGTTAGCTCTTGAGCATCGGTGTCAGTTAAATGTATATAATAATTATTGCCATCTAGCTGTAGTTGATTGGCAATATCAAGCACAACTTTCTTGTCATTCCTGTCAATTATAAAGCCCTGAAAAGTATACATTGTTTGTTCCACATTCCTTTCATATTTGACTGCATCACAATACTCCTAGAGTTAGTAAGATTTTTGTTGGCATCATAGATGTTGTAATTCTTCCAGCACTCCCTTAAGCTCATTATGTGATTGTGGGTCACCCTAATCCTTTGTCCAGTATGCCAAAGAGGAGGCTGTGAGCTGCTGATCCATTGACTGATGTAGTGATGCAGAATAAAAATTCAGTCTTTACACTGAAGTGAAGATCATCTAAACTTTGGTGACAATCATCTAAACTTTGGATGGCCAATACTTTGTCATGCATTAGAAGAATCTTGAAAGATGTTTCTATAACCAAACAATAATATTCAATGGCAAGTAAAAATTAGCTTAAGAGTCAGTATTAAAAGATGGCAATTGCCACCCAAGTCTTTGTATTTTCCAACTCAATATTGGGAAAGTATAGCTTAAAGATACAGAGAAGTACTCTTAAATTTAGGGAGTGATACAAAGCAAAGGTTTGTTCTTCAAGTGTGTTACCCAAAAACAATAATCTTGACCTATGCTTCATGCCTTGAATATTGAATTATGAAGGAAGCATCAAAAGCAGATAAAAATAATACAGAGTCAGTGTACAAAAAATAACTGGTCAATATGCAGCAATTTAAGGAATGCAGCATATGAGCAAGAACCAGTGGTGCTAAAGGAATAAGTTCAAACTGCACTGAAAGTATGAGCCATAAAAAGGCTTCAATTATTGATGGAATATTAATTGAAATGTTTCAACAGGCTGACAAAGCACTGGAAGTACTTACATGTCTATGCCAAGAAATTTGAAGAGAGCTACTTAGCCAACTGACTGGAAGATATCCACGTTTATACCCAAGGAAAGGTGACCCAACAGATTGCTCAAATTATAGGACAATATCCTTGACATGACATATAAGTAAATTGTTGCTGATCATCATCCAACAAGGGTTGCAACAATAAATTGACAAGGAGATGACAGAAGTCCAGGCATGATTCAGACGAGGACATGACTGATGTCAGATAGAACTTGGCTGAAATGGAGAATACCAGAAAGAGGTTTTCTTGTGTTACACTGGCTATGCCAAGGAAGTTGACCATATGGATCATAACAAACTATGGATAGTCTTGAGAAGAATGGGAAATCGAGAACACCACATCGTGCTCATGTGGAATGGTAGATGGATCAAGAGGAAGTTGTGCAAATAGAAAGGGGGATACTGCATGGTTTAAAATCAGAAAGGTGTGTATCAGAGTTGTATCCTCTCACCATACTTTTCAATCTATATGCTGAGCAAATCATAAGAGAAGCCGGCTTTTGTGAAGAATAAAATCGCATCAGGATTGGAGGAAAACTTATTAACAACTTGCAATATGTAGATGACACAACCTTCCATGCTGAAAGTGAGGAGGAATTGAAATACTTGCTGATGAAGATGAAAGATTGTAGCTTTCAATATGGGTTACAACTCTAGGTACAGAACACTAAAATCTTCAAAACTGTACCAATAGGCAATCTCATGAAAAACAGAGAAAATAGTGAAGTTGTCAAGGAGTTGGTCTTTGCTAGGATCCACAGACATTGCTCGTGGAAGCAGCAGTCACATTGGATTGGGCACATGGTACCCTACAAGGACACACTGGATAGGGCAAATCTGCCACACAAAACCTCCTTAGAGTATTGTAAAGCTAGGATGCTACTTTGAGGACTAAGACACTCTTGACCCAGACCATTCTATTTTATTGTCTCATATGCATGGGAAAACTGCACATTTAATATGGAAGACTAGAAAATAATGGATGAATTTGAATTGTAGTACTGGCACAGAATATTGAAAGTACAGTGTACTACTAAATGGAGAAAGAAGTGTGTCTCAGAAATACAACAAGAGTGCTCCTTGAAGGAAGGATGGGCAAACTTCATCTCAAGTACTTAGGACATGTTTTCAGGAGAGACTAATCCCTGCAGAAGGTCATAATACTAGGTCAATTAGAGCGACAATGAAAGAGAGGAAGGCCCTCAACAATATGGATTGCAACCCTGTGTCTGTAACAATGAGCTCAAACAGGAACAATTTCAATATAGTGCAGGACCAGGCAATGTTTTGTTATGTTGTGTATGGGGCTGCTATGGGTCAGGACCAATTGGATGGCACATAACAACAACAGCCCTCATGCCTGATGCTGGGTGCATTTCTTTTTTTCCTCTTTCAAAATGGTAGAGTTTCTTTTTTTTTCTTTTCTGACATTTCCCTCCCAAATTAATCAGTATCATATACCTGAAATTGTTGGTCATGTAAATCACCTTCTTCTTCAACAATCCATGCCTGATGCTTTACCTTACACTTAAAATTTTTGAAAATTTGCTCTCACTTTTAAACACTACTTGAGGCCATATCTTTTTAATATATATATATATATATTGTGTGAATTTGAAGGTTTTATAAAGCAGATCATCGGTTTTATATTCAACAATTCCTATGCATTTTTTAAATCTCACCCTTTGCATACCCTCAATGTAGTATCATATACCCCATCTCTTCCCTGTTTCCTGTTCTCACCCCTCCTTCTTTTCTAACCCTTCTGAAATGTGTCCTTTGGTATATGCTGTCATAATGACCTTATATGGCTGATTCTTGTAAGGTATTGCAACAAAGTCTTTATTTTGTTCCCTAGCTGCAGTGTGATAATTATTTATTTTAAAAGAATTAAGACCAGAGTAGCCAAGGGAGAAGGAGCCCTCATTGTGTAATGGTTATGAGTGGGGCTGCTAGCCACAGGATCAAACATTTGAAACCAGCAGCTCCTCTTCGGGAGAAAGACAAGGCTGTCTATTCCCATAAGGAGCTACATTCCCACTAACCAATGGGAACAGTCTTACCCTGTCCTATAGAATTACTATGAATCAGAATTGAATCCGTGGAAGTGAGCTGGGTTTTGGAATCAAGGTGTTGTAAATTCAAGATATCTCAAATGGTCAACTTCCCCAAGATGTTGTACTGCTCCAATCTTAACAGACTCTTCCCTTCAGTATTATTCCTTTTACCCGAGTCCTGCAATTCACTACCACATCTCACAGAAGCACAGGAAACTGTAAGGATTTGTCTCATATGGTTGTGTTGGTGCTGTTGTAGTTCTGGTTGTTGTTGTTGTTGTTAGGTGCTGTGGAGTTGGATCTGACCCATAGCAATGCTATGCCCAACAGGATGTAGTACTGCCCAGTCATATGGTGTCAGGAACTGTCAAGTGCCAAATATGAAGGTCAGGCAGAAGCATGACAAATGCAAGGTTTAGAGTCAGAAATCAAATATGTCAAAAAGTCAAAGCATGACTTCTCGCTTCTACCAACACAGTCAGGAAATGGAGGTCATCAAAAACGGAAGATTTTGATGAGGTGTGATTTTTATTTTTATTTTCTAAATGCAGGGGAAAGCAGGGACGCAGTCCCCCGGTGCCATAAATTATGCAGTTGAGTTTTCTACATTTAGTGAAATCGCAGGGGTTAGCACACCTGGAGTGCAATAGATGAGCCTCACTCTGGGAAAACTACCTTCATGATCAAGGTATCTCCCCGCCAGGTAAGTATGTGGTTTTTAATTTTAAGCAGACCATACACCTAAAAGGATTGATGAACTTGTAGGGCATCAAGTAGAATAAGGGTTTCTTGTGGGGGCAGTGGTGGTAGGGGGAGGTGGGGGTAAAAGTAAACTGATGTCAAGGAATTTAGGAGGAAACTTTTTTTAAACTGATTGTGGTAGCAATTGTACAATACTGCTTGAGGTGATTGAACTATGGAATTATTTCATATCTGAATTAACTCCCAATAAAATGGTGTAAAAAGAAAGAAAGAAAATCGAAGTAAGGATGATGAATTTAAGTTACATCTTCTTGTAGAGTCTAAAGATACCTCCACCTTAATCCTGTAACAGATAAATCCCTCCAAAATCACATTATAACCATAGGCACAGATGCTAAAATTTACAACACATTACAAAAGAGATTATGGCAGATGAGATTATGATTAGAAGGTTCCTATTAAGTGATTGATTACATCTCATGGCATTTAGCTTTTAAACCATTGAAAGGTCTTTGAGACTTTGCTTCCTCTAAAGAACGAATCATGAGCATATTGCACCGATTGTGATCATCTAACCAAATTATCAACGGCTATGCAATTTCAGTAATGAAACTACTATGTTGCTTGGTAATAATCGTAGCTTTCATTGTGACAGAGTTTCCATATGCTCCATTATTCTCATTTAATTTCTTAAAACTTGCTATCCTTGATTAATGCTGTGATGGTTTTTCCAATCACGGATACCGCTTAACCTCTTTCCATGCACTTTATTATTTCTACTTTTGATTCAATTATGATCATCGTCCTTTTTATTGTTGCCTCTATCACAAGCACTTTTACCCGATTTATAATTAGGAGGCATTATTGTCATTGTTAGAGTCCCATAGAGTTGGTACCTATGCATAGTGACCAGAGGCACAGCAGAATGAATCACTGTCAGGTCCTGTGCTAATCCTATCGTTGTTCTTCTGTTTGAGCCCATGGATGCAGCCACTTCACCAGCCCGTCTTCCACTTTTTCACTGACCTTCAACTTTACTGAGCATGATGTCCTTTTCCAGTGATTAGGCCTCCTCATAATATGTCCAAAACACATGAGAAGAAGCCTCCATACACATTCAAGGGAGCTTTCTTGTGCTATCTCTTCCTCTCCACATGCTTCACCTGCACCAAAATTCAAATGAACCAGGTCTTCTTTGGTCTTCCTTATTCAGTGTCCAGGTTTCGTATGCATATGGGGTAAATGAAAATACCAAGACTTGGATCAGACACAGCTTAGACCTCAGAGTAATCTACTTGCTTTTCAATTCTGTAAAGAGGTTTGGTGCACAATACCCAATTCAATGTGTGGTTTGAACGCTTGACTGTTGCTTCTATGAGCATTGATTGTGAATCAAAGCAAGTTAAGGTAAAACTCTTTAAAAATTGGAATGTTCTCTCTGTTTATGATGATATGTATTGGTCCAGTTGTGAGAATTTTGGTCTCATTGCTTTGAGTTGTAAATCATATAAAGGCTGCAATCCTTGATCTTCATATGCAAGTGATTCAGCCCCTCCTCACATTGAGCAAGCATGGTGGTGTCATCTGCATATCACAGGCTATTCATAAGCCTACCTTCAATCTTGATGCAGCTCTCTTCTTTATATAGTTCAGCTTCTCTGATTATTTGGTCAGCATACAGATGGAATAAAAGAGAAGGAGGTTTAAGAATGTGAAATAGGTATGAAAACAATGACGTGAAATTGAGCAAAAAATAAGTTGAATGTCAGGGAAAAATGCTTCAATGAAGAAGTCCTTTAGACAATGAAATGAAAGAAAATATTCTTGGAACAGTGGAAGGAGCTGTATTGTTTGAGGCATTGAACTCAATATGCCTCCATGTGTTGTACAATCCTGACACACTCAGTTCCTGATTTTAAACCATGCAGTTTCCTCTTGTCTAGTCTGAGACTGACTCTTGATCTATGTAGAGGTTCCGCAGAGCACAAGGAAGAGTTCAAGAATTACCATTCTTCTCAAGGCTACCCATAGTCTGTTATGACCCACAGAGTTGAATGTCTTTGTTCAGTCTATTCAGCACAATTAAACATCTTTTCCTTCAGCCAAGATCTATCTGCCATCAACAATGTTCTCCCTGTCCCATGTCCCTTTGGGAACCTGGATGGAAGCTCCGGCAGCTTCCTGTCGAGGTACTGCTATAACCTTGTTGAATGATCTTCAGAAAATTTTACTTACACGTGGTTTTAATGTATGGTTCAATAATTTGCTATTCTGTGTTGTCATTTTTCTATGGAATAGGTACAAATATGGATATCTTCCAGGTAGTTAGCCAGGTAGCTGTCTTCAAGCTTTTTGGCATAGATTAATGAGTGCTTCCAGGGCTTCATCGGCTCATGGAAACATTCCAGTTGGTATTCTGTCAATTCCTGGAAACGTGTGTTTGTCTAATGACTTCAGCTCAGCTTCAACGTCTTCCTTTTGTACTATCAGTTTTTGACCATATGCTATCTCTTGAAATGGGATGTCCACAAATCATTTTTAATATAGTGACTTTGTGTATTTCTTCAATTTTTTTGCTTCTATCAATTTTTAAAAATTTGCCCAGAGAATCTTTCAATATTTCAACTTGAGGCTTGAATTTTTTTTAATTATTTGAACTTGACATATGTGAAGCATGTCATTTCTTCTTTTTTAACTCCAGGTTTTTGAACCTTTTATTATAATACTTTACTTTTTGTATTCTTAAAATTTTCCTATTCAACTGTTTTGCTTCATAATTTCTTGCATTTGTTTCAGCTGCTCTATGATCAAGACCAAATTTTAGATTCTCTTTTGATATCTACTTAGCATTTTTAAAATATCGTGTCTTTTCAATGATATTTTGCTCTCTTCACGTATGATCTTCTTGACGTCATCCCATGGACTGTCAGGTCTTCTGTCATTAATGTTCAATGAGTCAAATGTACTCTTGAAATGTTCTCAAATTTTAGGTAGAATATATTCAAAATCATATTTTTGCTCTTGTTGACATTTTTAGATTTCATTCTTCATATAACCTCATATAATTTTAACCAGAGCTTACATAAGAGCAATTGATGGTTTGTTTCGTAGCCAGCCCCTGGTCTCATTTTGGCTGCTGATACTGAGCTTTATTATCTTTCCCCACATATGTTGTCAATTTGATTTCTGTATATTTCATCTGGAGAGGCCATGTGTATAATCATAACTTATGTTTTTGAAACTATGTATTTGTGATCTAGAAGTAATTGGTCTTGCAAAATTCTATCATGAAATTTCCAGTTTTGTTTTTATCACCAAGGCCATATTTTCCAACCACTGTATTATCCTCCTTGTTTCCAACTTTCAGGTGCTCGTTTCCAATGATTGTCAAAGCATCTGGATTGCAGGTTTGACCAATTTCAGACTGAGGACAGTGATAAGTGCATCAGTTCTTCATCACTAGAGTCAGTGGTTGGTGTACAAATTTGAATAATAGTAGTACTGGAGCTCTTTGTGTGTGTGTAGACCTTACCCTATCTCAGACAGCATTGTACTTCAAGAAAGATCTTTCAATTTCCTTTTTGATGCTGAATGCAATGTTACTTTTTTTCTTGAATTTCTCATTCCTGGAATAGTAAACCATATAATTATATAATTGTCTGATTCAAAAGGGCAACGCCAGCCCATTTCAGCTCAATGATGCCTAGGATATCAATATCAAATAAATGTCAAATAAATAATATATTTTCTTTTTTTACATATAATAGTTTTATTGACATATCTTACACTATCTAATATATCTGTTCACATACAATTCTCAATTCTGTTGTTCAGTTCTCTTAAGAGGAGTTATACAATCATCAATGCTATCAGCTCCCCATCCCCCCACCAGTTCCTGAACCCTCAGGGAACTGTTGCTCTTTCTGAAGGGTTATCTATCTTAACTTTCATGCACCTGAGAATCATAAATATTCAAATGAGCATGCACAAGTCTAACATGATTAATGAGGTAAAGAAATAAATACCTGAATAGTAAGGGGAGAAATTTTGTGGAACTAGAGGATATTTATGTGGTTCATTGGTGCCCTACCACACTCTGGATTTATCGTAAATTCCATGTGGCCCTTCTGAGAGGGACTGTCCAATTACTTTGCAGATGAACTTCGGTTCTCTATTGCATCCATGCCCCTTCGTATTGAGCTAAATTGCAGGTTTTTGAATACCTGATACCTTTGCCCAGTCGACAACTCATGATAACACAGGTTGGAGTGCTTCTTCCATGTGGACTTTGTTTCCCTGCTAGTTGGTTGCTTGTTTAATTACAAGAATATAAGACCTCTGATGTTATACCTTTTGCTAGCAATGCACCATCAGCTTTCTTCACCACATTTGTTTTTCACCATTTGTCTTCAGTGATCTTGTCAGGAAGGTGAGTATCATGCAATGCCACACTCTTAGACCAAACAGTTCTTGTACTGAGGCAAGATTTACGTATAAGCCCAAAGTCCATCTGCTTCCTTGTTACATATGTATATATATTTATATACAAGGGAGACTCCCCCCCCAGAAAAAAAACCTAGAAAAAAAGCTCCGTTGGGCTGAGGGTTCATAGTACACATTTATCCTGCTAATTGAGCATTGAGCAACTCATTCTGAGTAAGTGCACACAGTGGCATCACCTGGGAAGGTTTCTCTGGTCACAGTGATTTTTTTTGGGGAAAGTAGTTTCGTTCAAACCTTGTTATTTTTTTGTGATGGCTGATTTAAGAGAACAGTGTGCTGCTGTGAAATTTTGTTCCCCGGTTCTACCTTACAAATCCGGTTAAACCAGATCATGTACACAGGTACGGATAAGAGCTCTCAACACATGTAATCCATGACAGGTAAACCCTCAGGAACAATAATGGGAGTAATGACACCATGCGGGTAAGGGTAAAGTGGGGGGGGGAGAAAGGGGAGGAAGGGGGAATCAATCGCAATGACCCCGGGGCCCCAGGAGGATGAACAAC